TACAGATTAACAGCATGGCTGCCAAAAGTGCTTCTGTGCCTACACATTGAAGCTTCACAAATGGAACAGATTTTTTTTTTTAATTTAACCTGTGAGAATACTTATTTGTTCTCTCTCTTTATGTGTTAGCTTTTCACTGAATCCAGCAGTTAGACTATTTTTCTCTTGTGGAGAAATTGTAGGCTGAAACATAGGTATTCTGCTTTCCCACATTTTAATAAACATAATATGTTAATTTTTTAAAGTAGGTATTTATTTTATAACTGTATTAATTCAACTGTAAACCTAAAATTTTACAGCCAATTTTGAAAGAGATGCAACTTAGCTCTGGAAATTGTTATTGAATATGACAATGCTGTTGTAATGAAATACTTCTTCTAATTATGTGGTTATTAATAAACAATTTTTTAAAAGTAGGTATTTATACACACTCAAAATGGCTAGCTAAAAGACACATATTACTAAGCCACTTTAATTTACAGCTTGCTTGAATCATCTACACATTGAAGATGCTGATCTCTTTGCCAAATTTGCTGTTTGCACCTCAGCTTCAACTGCACGAGTCTCTTAGGTAGTGCTGACGAATGAACAAAATACGCAAAGAAAAATACTCCAGTAAATATGCAGTTGTCTTTTTGGAGTCATATCTTCTGTGACATAGATGAAGGCCACTCATTTTGGTCTTTTTGAGATAGGGCTGGCCTGGAACTGACTAGGTAGACCAGGGTGGTCCTGCTCTCAGAGAGATCTGTCGGCCTTGGGAATTAAAGGTGTGGACAACCATGCCCAGCTTGAAAGTCACTCACTTTAAATTCCTTTCTTGCTCAAGAAGGGAGTGCTTAGATTTTATCTGATTACTTTTGGTTCAGCTTTCATATTTAACCATGGGCTTAATGGTAGATGATAGATCTAGCTGTTTTCTGTCACTGAGCATCTCAGAGAATGTTATTGATGTTCTCTGTCTTACCAATTTTCTTTATATATAAAATACCAACACAAACAATGTACCCGATGACAAAGTTTTGAGTTAAAGAATGTTGTAAACAAAATATAAAAATTTTCCAAGCCCAAACTACTTATAAATATTTAATTATGTTAGTGCAGATTAAACCACCCAATAGAGATACATTAGTCTTGCTGTCAACCATTTTTTCTCTCTTATTTTGCAGGAAATTCCAGATAAGTAGACATTCCACATTGCACTTGATTAAACATTTATACAAAAAATGCCTTGGCACTGCTAGTTTTGATTCATGTCTGAATAGCCTAAGGCCTAGGCACTTGTGGTTAAGTTTAATTTTCTATAAAAATACCTTCATCTTACATTGAAATGCTTCTTTAAGGAAATGGGTTCCTTCTGAGAGAAATTTCAGGACAGTCATTGATATTCTAGGTAAGTTGCTGCCAGCTGTTTTATTGAATGCCCCACATATTTATTTCATAAATAAGGTAACTAACAAAGTAGGCATCATTCACCCATTGAGAAGAAATGCCTACAGTGAGGGAACAATGGAACCTACCCTGCTGGCTGACAGGAAAGGGGCTCTCTTTAAAGGAAGGGGGGGAATCAGCTGGAATCTTTGCTAGCACTTGCCAGAGGTTATTTCCAAAGAAACCAAATGTACCATCCTGATCATAGATAGCATCTTCCCAGGGGTGACCACCTCCTGAGGACTCTCTTATAACTGATAGTAACCACAAATGCCCATTTGAAAAAAAAATGCTCTTTGTTGACTGAACTCTTTGGACTGGATAGGGTACAAACATGGTGAATGGTGTTTGTTTTCTTATCCCTGCTTTTGATTCTCTTGTTTCTTTGTAGTCACCTGTGTTCTAACTCAATCGAGCCTCCCGACTGTGCCCCAGTTTTGTCCACTCTTTGACCTTAGAACCTTACAATAGCATGAGCAAGATTTACATCTTTCACTTCTCATGCTTTTACTTGTTGAGGTTTGGGAAAAGGCAAGAAGAGTTTTTATAGAGGGAGTAATGCAATATTCTTTTCCTTCATAAGTGCTATAGTAGTGTTTTATATATATATAATGAAATGCCTGCAGTGAATATATTCTATATATAGAGAGAACATATATATATATGCAATAAATTGTAAGACAATTATATATAAGCAGGGAAAGGAAAGTAAACTAAAAAGTAAAATGAGATAAAATCACTTGAACTGATAAAATGCCAATACAGAGAGAGAGAGAGAGAGAGAGAGAGAGAGAGAGAGAAAGAGAGAAAGATTAACCAGTCTGCAAATATGGACACTAAGCTCACATACATGTTTGTTAGGAAACTGTTTATTGGGTTATTGTCTGATAACACTGTCTTGTGTCTTTTTCATTGACAGACACCCCAAAGCTGCTTGGGTGAGTGTGCCTAGCAGGGGGTCTTGTTGGGCTTTGCTAAAACTGCTTAAAGCTCTGGCTTCCCTGGAAGGGGTCATGTGCTATTTGATCACACCTTGTCTTCTCAATGATGGTGTGTTACACTTTGCAACTGATTTACTGCTAATTCCTCTCTACAGCCTGTTTTCCTCTGTTCAAATACAATGCGTTCATCCATACTGTATACTTAAAAGAAGTGATCTTATGTGTATAATCAGCTTTCTCTTGGAGCTGGCTTGCTTGGATTGGGAGACGGGGAACTCTCTAACATTGTTATCCATCACTCATTTCTCCCAGGTCAAGCCCTGAATCCATTATCTCAGGGGGCACAGGAGAGGTTTTGTCACCAGCCTGCTAATGAATCCTACAGATCTCTACTACAGACATTTTCAGAATGTGGAAGCAGTAGGTTATCACACATTTTCAGCATCAGGGTTTTAGTGTTACTCTGTGAATAAAGGAAACATCCTCTTTAACATCCAGGACGACTCACTGGATATGTTACTTTAAAAAAATTTTATTGAGTTTTTGTGCATTTCATATAATAGATCTTAATCAAATTTGGACCCCTCCTCTATCCATGGTTCCCATACCCTTCACTGGATTTCATGCATTTTATCATATATGTTAAGCCCTATCTGGTCAAGCAATTGTACCCAGATGTCTCTCAGTGCAAGTCCATCCACTGGAGTCTAGTGGGCCTATCTAGAGTCACTCCCTTAATGAAGATTCACTCTCCCTCACCCAGCAATAATCAGCTGCCAATATGTTACTTTTATCTTTACTCAAGGACAAAACATTTAGGGGTCCAGAATTAGATTTTGAATTTGAAAAGAACTCTGGAGAGAGTCTGTCCATCCTTTGTAGTCCTGAAAGCTCAGACATTTCTAATCTGTTGGTTACATTACATTGAGGCTGGATTGCAAGCACAGGTGGAAAGCGGGAAGGGAACGAAGGCTCTATGCAAAAATATCAGCTCTGCAGTTGGTTGGTAAGATGTATCAGCTTACTACTTTATAAAATTTCATAAATCTTCAGTTTACCCAGAATAATCTTGTCCCACTTTGTCTTAAGGCTTCCAGTATATGGTATGTAAACTGAGAGGCCAAATCAAACATGGCTGTCACTAATGTCTGTTCTGGGGACTCTGGAAGAGGGAGAGTGATTTAAGTTCCTTGTAGGAGGTACATCAGAATGACAGTTGTCATTTATTGAGCACTAGGCATTAAGTTTTTTTTTTTTAATCTGTATTCACTCAAGTCTTCTTGACAAACTGTTAGTGTAGACATAGCTGCTGTTCTTGTTCTACAGATGAAGCAACTAACTCATAAATAGGTTAGAACACTTTCTTAAGGTCACACAGCTTGGCAGAGGTAGGGATTGGTTGTAGGTAGTTAATTCCAGAGTCTGTACTCTTAAACACTACTATGTTGTCATAGGATTTTTTGAAGTCATTTTTATTTTAAAAATTATTTTTATGTGTATGCGTGAATTGTCTGCATGTAGGTAAGTGAACCTGTGTCGTACAATGCCTGCAGGGATCAGAAGAGGCTGTTGGATCCCCTGGGACTGGAGTTACGGACAGTTGTTAGCTGCCATGTGGGTGCTGGGATTCGAACCTGGGTCTTCTGCAAGAACAACCAGTGTTCTTAACCACTGAGCCATCTCCTCAGCCCTGTGAAGTCATTCTTGACTAGGCAACTCTGTCATGCCTTTCAGAAGGAATATTCTCTTATCCTTTCAATATTAAAGAATATTTTCAAATCTCTCAGTGTTTACTTTGAATCATTTATTTTTTGCTCTCTGTTCAATGAATGAAAATTAAAGCATCTTATGTAATCACATTAATAAGCAGTCTTGTTCATAGTCTAGTCCATGAGTGAAGAAAGCCAGATTGAAGGAATACCTTTCTACATGGGTAGCCGTGAGCACAACTCAGGACACTGACCATCTGCAGTTGAGTGAGCAATTGTTGACTTATTGAAAATCTTTCAATATGTATAAGGTGCTGAGCTTTTTAGTTGGAGGGCGTCAGGACACAGACAAAAACTAGATATGCTTCTTTGTAGGTGAGGCCAAATGTGAAATAAATACAAAACCCCATGCTATTATAGTTATCAGTGTGTGAAATATAAAAGATAGCCTCCTGCAGGCAGGCACCTTACCAACCAAGTAGAAAGTACTTCACAGACACAATACTTTGGCTGTTTTATTTTTTTAAATTTATTTTTATTTTATGTGTATGACTTGTGTTGTCCTCATGTGTATAAGTGCACCCGTGTCATGCAGTGCTGGAGGTGGACAGAAGAAGGCACTGCATCCCCTGGAACTGGAGTTACAGATGGTTGTAGCTGCAATGAGTGCTGGGATTCAAACCCAGATTGGCAGCAACAGCCAGTGCTTTTAACTGCTCCATCTCTCCAGCCCTTTAGGCTGCACTTTGAAGAATTAGCAAAGCTACAGAACAGGAAAGAGGAACATTAGGAAGGGCTGGCAAGCACAGACACGGGCACATGTGGGCAACTGCAAGCTGAGCAGGAGCAAAAGGCTATCTTGGGAGAGTATAGCGAGGCCTTTGCATACGGAATCACTACCATAAAAGCTGCAAGTCTGTACAGGAGTTAAAGTGAGGTAACCCACAGAATTTACTGTATGGAATTCATGATGTGTATCTCATCACATCACATGTGCTTTCAGGGAATAATTATTACTATGCATGAGACTTGCATGTCCCAATTAATTTCACAACATTCTGCTATGATTCTTCAATAGAGAACAAGCTCCCCACTTGGTGTACAGTATAATGGCAGACGCCACCTACCGATTTAGTAAGCATTTGTATTTACTCATCCAGTGCTCTTATCAAACCTCTACTATGCATATGGCTGCTCTTCCCATTTTAAATGTCTGCTGTCTTCTCCATAGTACATAGTAGCTGGTAACCAATGATTACAGAAATAAAGATTTTTAAAGAACGATGTTACTGTTGATCAGGAATTGCCCATTATCTAGTGTTATCATCCCAAATCTGGTTTCCCTGATATTGGTCTTCATGACCTATAATTATAAACTTTGCCTCTCAGTTCTATGACAGGACAATAGTTACCTAGTAGACTGTCTTTATGTCACATGGGCTTGGTATTTAGTAACTAAGCCATCTAGGATAGACATGATGAGCCGTTTGATCCAATTAGCTCCTCAGTGTCTTTTTCATAACATGAAGAAAAATGACATCCTAGAAATGTTTGTGCTCATTTGAAAAACGAAGTACAAAGTCTACATCTTGTTAGCAATCATTTTATAAAATACCTTAAAAGAACAGATAAAGTATCTGAGGTTACATAATACCCAGAATTGAAAAAGAATGAATAAAATATAAATTAATTGGACACATAACTATTTTGCCACATTAGACAAGCTAAAAATGCATTTAAAAACAATAAAATGGAAGCCGGGAGGAAACCTTTTCATGCTATTCCTATCTTTTTCTAGAACCTCTTCCTAGAAGCACTAAAATTCCAGGTTAACAGGCAGTATCTGTATTATTGTTTAAAACATACTGTAATTTACTTCCAATTTAGTCCAGATGGGACATTTTAAAACCAGATTAGATAATTCAGTGCAAACTAGAGCTTCAAGTTGAAAATCTGAGAAGAAAAGTAATGTCCAATCTGCAAGAAATGTTTCTGGAAGTGAAAAATTAAGAAGTTCAAATTATGAATTCTTTGCATGTGATCTTGGTGTGTGAAAAACTGAGTTAAGGAACACACCTTTTGAGGATGTAATTAGCGCTCTACTGAAATGTGGGCAAGGGAGAAAGGGGTGGGCTAAAGGTTGTAGTAGCAGAAGTTCAAGTTAAGCATCAAATGCCTGGATTCGATACTAAAAAATTTGGCCTTGATTTATCAGGTATCATCCAGTGGGGAAAAGCAAACAAACGAAAAAACCAAAACAAAACCACACCTCTGATATTCTGGGAATATCACTGAAGATAAATCTCTAAGTCCTTCTACACAGAACATATTTTCAGGCAAGTATTAAAATTGGTCGGGATTTACTTTAAACTTATGGATTATATTAAATACTGGATCAGGAGTAATTTTATTTCCAAATCTTGAGACAATGGGAGGAATACCTAACTTTTGGGATCATAGTGAACCAAGTCTGGAACATTTCAAAGAATTAACAGGTAAACCCTCTTTATACTGAAAAAATACTTTCAATTATTTCTTTAAACAAGCTCTTTTCCAGTGTGCTGCTGTAGGCAATGGGTGGTGTGAGTTTTCATGTGTTAAGTAGGTTCCCTCTTTCCACTCCCTGCCTTGGGACTCACTGATAATTTATTGCATGGGCTAATGACTAGAAGATGAAGAAATTTTGGTGGAGTTTAGATGCAGTTTTTTTTTTTTTTCTGAATCTCAGACCCAAATTGATTATATTATCATGTGCTTTGCTTTAAATTCTGGCTGAAAAATTCACATGACCTGAAGAGTGAAAAGAGACTATGCTATGGTCCTATTATTCCTGTTTTCACACCCCTCCCTAATCTATTGAGAATGTTATAACAAAGTTATGACAAGAAAGTGGAAACTTTAGGTTTTAGACTGTACTACTGATCATCGGCAAGTCATATGAAATCCAAAATAGAGTGCTGTTCCAATATGACACCAGAAATTACAAAACAAGTAAAAAATTATGATGGTATAACATGGAGTTCATAAAACAACACACAATCATCCAATTAAAAAAAAAGTCTAAAAACCTGTAATCGTAACTCTGCAGAGGAAGAGTACCCAGGGAAAATTAAAAATCCCCCTCTGGGAGCACAAGCAACTGTCATTTGAACAAATCTGAACCACGTAAAACCTGTGAATCCTCAAGTATTGTCTCATCCTATGAAGCCAGATTGCGAAGTTCCCTCCCCAGGTCAACTTGGCTGTGCTCATGAATCTTGTACAACACCAGTTCCATCAGCTTTATCAGATGTTCTGTCATGTTCGCTAGAGTCAGGATGAGGGACTCATTATCTGGGGTCTCTCTATGTCACACTGGACACACAGTTAAGTAGTGGTGGAAATGCGCATAAACCCACAACTAAATCTGTATTTAGAAAGCTACCTAAATGTGGGTTCAAGCATTTTACATAGGGATAGTTTTGTGCCTTTTTTATCCATTACAAACTGCTGGAGTTCTGAAGCTCTGGTATCAGTTTCACAATCTTTACCATCAGAGACTTTTACAAGCAAAAAATGCATACAAAACCATTAAGTATACTACAATCAGCTTGTGAAAATTTGCACTTTAAATATATAGTGCCTAAGTGCCAAGCATAGTAGATGGTCAATAGATGTTTTTAGATTAAAAAGGTATTTATTACCACAGTTTCAGAAGAACCAATCATTTTGCAAACATGAAAAAACTATGTTAACTTCTTTCATTTGATGGAGTAACACAGAGCAATGGATTAGAAAATCCACAGAGCAAATATGAACCCTAATTTGATTGGAAAGAGTACTAACAGTTTTGCAAGTAGCATGTCCACAGCAGCACTGGCACTTAAAGATGCATCAAAGATTTCATATTTCTATTGCCTTAGGAAGGAGGTCCCACACTGTGAGGAACTGGGGTGCAATCACTCAAAAAGAAAATGGACTCTGTTCCACTTTGGGAAGGCATGCCCATGACCCTGTCTGAAGGTATAACAACATATTTTGAAAGGAAGGTCCCCTTTCCAGCCTGAAAGTGATGCGGACACAACTGCCAGGGGATCTCATCATATTTCTGTGGTACAGCACTGTCTCATGCAAGTGTGACTCCCACATGTGCAGCAGTCATCATGGCACTCCTGGGATGACAGGGTGGAGAGTATGGAAAATTAGAGGGTATAAAACTTACACTAACAAGGGAAGCTCTTTTATATTATATAAAAATCCCTTATAAAAGGCAGTTTATTGACAAATAAATGCTTTATACATTCAGGTTTTTCCCATCTTTCAACAGTGATGGCTCCCAAAGAAATGACTCAGTAGTGAGGACCACACAGTTTTCTGTTTTCATTTTTTGCATTAGTTTGAAACACTAAAAATCAGAACCTTCAGACTAGAGTGTCGTGTAAATGGGAGAAATGGACCTGGACCTGGGGACTTGGGTGGGGCCGGGGAAGAGAGCAACATAAAGAGGTGATTTTGCTGCTGCCATGGACAGCAGAGGCAGGCATGGGGAATATTACAGCAGACCTGACCACTCTACAAAGGGCTCGTCAGGAACACAGTACAGGTATCAAAAACAGAAACAAACTGCAACTCTGCCAATGTGTAAACAAGGAAAAGCATTTCACAGATTCAAAGTTCAAGGGAAGTAAACGTCTTTAAATTATTTTGTCAGTTCGACCCTGATTTAGAAGTATGGCTAGCACAAACACGAAGCCACAGCTGTGGCCATCCCAGGGAGCCACAGTCTCCAGAGAACCTGAGCGGCCGGCCTCCCAGGTCCAGATGCCATGGCTCCTGAGCTCCCTCTCAGTCCTCTCTGTTCCATCCTCTGGAATGTCTGTCTACTGCTTTACATTTTGGTGTCTGCAGTTCTGGCTGCTATAGATTCAGACGTGGAGAGACTGGCGGAGGGAAAGCAAATTCTCGGAGGATGCTTCTGGCCACTTCCACATTATTCTGGGCAATCTCTAAGGCTCTCTTCACCTCTTCAAAGGCATAGCCCTCTCCCATGAGTTTTGCGATTTTTGCATCCACATTTTCCAGCGCTGCCTCAGGCCCATGAGGCTTTCTGTGGTGAATTTCTGGAGCAGTCCTGCGGGGTCGTGGTTTGGGGGGTCTGGCTGGTGCTTGTGAACCATCTGTAGAGATTTTTAGAGACAGATACCATTGAAACAGTGAGATAAAAATGAAAACACCAGAAGAAAATAGCGTTATCTCGTTATTTTATGTTACATAGTATTTTAATTTTCTCTACAAATAAATTTGTTTGCTATCTTATTGCGAGATAGGAAATGTAATATTCACTTTGAAAATTACAAAGTGGTATGGAATGTAGCATTCTGACTAAGTATCACATTCAATTCCTGATTCCATAGTTCATTCTTCAAGCAACAAGAAATAAAAGACAGAAAAAAGGAAAAAAAAATAGTCAAAGTTCAGTGTAGAAGAGGAAAGTTTGACTCTATATAGCCATACAGTTTATCTTTCTCAGCTACAGCACAGTCTGTGACTGTTCTCAGAGGAAGAGTCTTATAGGCGGTCCCTACTGGAGGGAATGCTCTCTCTGAGATAATGGAAATCATGACATAATATCTGCCAATGTTCTCTGTCTTAGGTATGTTCCAGCAGAACAAGTCTAGAAAATACTTTGTTGGGTTTCCTCTCACCTGGATTTTTCAAATTAATAATGCTGTACCTTCCTGGTACCACAGGAAGAAACTGAAGCAGCTGATGGTTGGACTCTAGTAGTCAACAAGCTGAACAGATGAAACATGGTGCTTTGTTCAAATACTAGATAGACTCCAATGTAGGACACTTTGCATGAGAAAATGTAAACTTAGAGAAGACATCAGGAATGCTACTGCTGAGGATCCAAAACTCAGGTCCTCATGCTTATGTGCAAGTGCTTTATCCACTGAATCCACTGAGCAGTTCCAGAGCCCTGGAGAACCCAGACCTAAATGGAAGTACGAATGCCTTGAATTCTATGGTAATTTTCTACCCAATTTTTAATTGTGATCTCAATTCTATATAAAACACTGAGAACTGTACTTCATTATTATGCAATGTGAAACAGTTGTGTATTCAAATCCAGTGGCAGTCAAATGCAGATGTGAAACAGCTGTGTATTCAAATCAAGTGGCAGTCAGAAGACATGGTGAAAATTCTTAGGAATCAGATCTTTTAGTTTTAATAAATACATGTCTCTAGCTTTCACAAGCAACACTGAAAAACATACAACCTGTCATCATTCACTCTCAGAAAAAGAGTAGGAACTGGAGAGAATGAGACAGCTGAATAGAGGTGCCCAGGAGCACTCTTCCTCCACAAAGGAAAAACAGTAATAGGTATATAGTTTCAATTTTAGGTTCATAGCATGGAAGAACAGTGGAAATCAGCAAGAGTGAGAGACTGAAAGTTGTAAGCTTCAGAGACCTTGGGCAATAGCTTTAAAATGATTTCTTTTTATTTTGTGTGTAAGAGTGCTCTGCTTGCATGTATGCAAGTGCACCACACGCATCTAATGCAGGTGGAGGCCAGAAGAGGGAGTTGGATCTCCTGGAACTGGAGTTGCAGATGGATGGTTGTTAGCTGCCATATGGGTACTGGGAACCACAGGTCCTCTGCAAGAGCAGCCAGTACTTTTAACCATTGAGCCATCTCTCCAGATCCTAGGACAATAGCTTTTTAAGAGAAACAAAACAGCCAGGCATCTGCCTCACCTCAGGCTGGCCTTGGAGCTGGGGGAGGAAGAACCCTTTGCAGGGACAGAGGTGAGCCCCAGTGCACCCAGTGCAGATGCTGGCACTCTCAGCTCTGGGAAGTTTAGCTCCTACAGGCTTGCAGTCCACTTATGTAAGTCATGTGAACATTGCGTGGTAAAAGGATCTCATCCAAGACAGATGAAGAAGCTGGGGTGAGTGGAGACTCCACCACGGGCCAGCTAGAATCAAAGAAATTGCATATAAACTGACACTAAGACACACTTCAGGAGAAAGCTTCTTACAAACAGGCCACTATAAAAAAGTGGTGGTGATAACTGATCAACCAGATACGAAATTTCAAAATAGGAACACAAGGAATTAAAAATGGTGATACGAACATAATTCTAGAAAGAGATTTCAAATAAATGGAAATAGATAAAATGCTTGGCATAATAATTTTAAAAGAATGAATACAAAAAATGCCTGAGAGCTCTAGGAGAATACAAATAAACACTGAAGTGAAATTAGGAAGACAATGCAGACATAGAGAAGAGAAAGCAAAACAGATTTTTGAAAAAGAAGTAAACAAATCTTGGAAATGAAAGACTCAGTAAGTTGAACTATGTAGTCAAATATCTTCAAAACAGACTATATTACGGGGAAGGAAGCAAGTATAATTTGAAGACATATCCCATTCAGACCAATGACAAAGAAGTGTGGCGAATTAAAGATCTTTGGGACACCAGTAAATGGAAAAAAAAAAAAAAAAGAATTACACATTTTGGAATACTCCAAGGCAAGAAGGAAAAAAATGTTGTTAAGGGCATTGAAAACCTATGAATAACATCAAAAGCTTCCCTAATCTTGAGAAACATGTGGGGTCGCATATAGACAAAGCTTATGCAATCTCAAATAAACATGAGCACAAAAAATCATCACCACAGCTTATTATAGCCAAACTTCAAAACTGTAACACACACACACACACACACACACACACACACACACACACACAAACACACACACAGTTCCATTGAAAAAAGACAGGTCAGGGGGCTGGAGAGATGGCTCAGCAGTTAAGAGCACTGGCTGCTTTTGGAGAGGAACTGGGTTCAATTCCCAGCACCCAAATGGCAGCTAACAACTACCTGTAACTCCAGTTCCAGGGAATCTGACACCCTCTTCTGACCTCTTTGGGCATTACACATCATGGGTACAGTTAACATACATGCAGGCAACACAATCATTCATACACATTAAATGAATAAAATATTTTTAAAAAGAAAAAAGTCAAGTCACATTTAAAGGCATCTCATTCCAACAGTAGTGGATTTCTGAGCAGAAACTTTATATTTCAAGAGACCATGAAGTGATATCTTCTAATTCTTGAAAGAAGATTCAGTTTGCTATGATTACTATACCCTACCAGGCTACCAAGACCTTCTACGACAGCAAACATTGAAGAAAATCATGACCACCTGAGTAGCCTTACAGAATATGTGTAAGGGAGTCCTACATCAAGAATTGAAAGAGAAATAACCACAACCATGAAAGCAAGTGAAAAAGACCCCACCAGAAGAGCAGATACACCTCAATGAAATCAAATAAACACAGTGAACCAGCAAATCATGAGAACGAACAAGTGATAAACAACAAAGATGGCTCAAAATAACAAGAATATCAACAAAATGACAGAATAAGCCCTTATCAATAATAATTGTGAACTGTAAAACCAACCAAATTTTCCAATTTAAGGATACAGACTAATCACCTAAGACTAACCCACTTCACCAATAAAGACTCATACGGAAAGAGAGTAAAAGGACAGTGACATTCCAAACAAATACAAGGCTAAAATAGGCAGGGCTAGCTGCATTTATATCTGAAAACAAATCCAAGTTTAGCAAAAATTGGAAGAAAAGACAAAGATCATCTTATAATGATAAAAAAGCAATTCAACAAGAAGATATGTATAAATCTATATGAACTAAGTAGTAGAGTACCCAATTTTATATCACAAAAGTATGTTAAAAAAGCAGCAGGATGTAAATTCAACATAAAAACTCAGTAGCTTTTCTAAATTTACACATTTAGATGAGAAAGAAAGCATGAAAGCTACAAATAAAGTATCTAGGAATGAATTTGACTAAGGATGAAAAAGAGCTCTACAATGAAAATTATACATCACCAATGAAAGAAACAAATGACAAAAATAGAAAGCTCATGTCCATGGATTTGAAGAATACCCTTGTCTTAGTTACTTTTCTGTTGTTGTGATAAACCCCATGACTAAAAGCAACTTGGGGGAGGAAATGAGTTTATTTGATCTTACAAGATACAGTTCATAATCAAAGGAAGCTAGAGCGGGAGGTCAAGCAGCAACCTGGAGGTAAGAACTGATGCAGAGACCAGGGAGGAATGCCATTTATTGGCTTGCTTCCCCTGGCATGCTCAGCTACTATTCTTATATAGCCTTGTAAGTGTGGATAAAATGGACTGTGCCTTGGAAATATAAGATGAAATAATCCTATCCTCCCCAAATTGCTTTTGGTCATGATGCCTATCACAGCATCAGAAAGCAAACTAGAAGAGAAATTGGTAACATCAAGTGGAACTTGAACATGTTGGTTTTGGGGAAGACAGCTGAAGTGTTCAAGGCTTGGACCAGAAAAGCTTTTCAGTGGTCAGTGCTTAATAAGCTGCTCAGTGGGATCTTGGAAGATAAGAATGTTGAGTGGAATGCAGAAGATGGAGGCCTGGCTTGTAAAGTTTCAGAGTAAAGCAAAGACTATCGGGATCAGTCCTATGATATTTTGTATTAATACATATTGGCTAGCTCGGGTAAAATAAAACCAGCTGTAATTAGTAAGAGAGGCGAAATCTTATGGAAAGTATTTCTTCTTGATCAGCACACAGAAGCTATGATCTGGGACAGGAGGGCAGCAAGGCTGCATCTTAAGCTGGAAGCCAAACTTGGCAATGTGCAAGTGTCTACTATGTAGTGCTGGTTTTGAAGGGATCACAGAGAGCAGCTGAGTCTTAGCACTGTGATAGGCCAGGAAAGGACACAGCTAAAGGTGCAGTCTCATTTGTAGTGAAGACCACAGGACTGAAAAGGCCATAGAAAGAATGTGAGGCTTGTCATGGTGTGAGGCCAGGAGAGACCCCTGTTGCAGTGGAGACCCCAGCATATTAGAGTTGTCAGAATCCTAAGAGGACCACCACAGACAGATGCAGGTGCAAAGTGGGGTTGGCCTGAGCCTAATGGACAAGCTAGGAATGCTGCTGTTGTCAGAGCTGAGGAGGTAAAGCTGTCCAAGCCTTTGGGAGTCCAGACATGAGTCTATCTTAGAAGTCAGACACTGAGCTACACTGTTGACTTAAGTGTGCCTGGATCCTCCCTTTTGAAATAAGAAAACACTTACCTTTTTATTTTTTCTATTTTACAAGACACCACAGTTAAGACACTTAAGAGAACCTGGGACTTTTAAATTAAACACTGTGCAACTTAAAATTGTACTATATTATATACTGTGAGATTAATATTAACATGAGATCTTCGAGACAAATAGGAAAGGGAAGGTTGTGGTTTAGTAGTGATGTGCTTTTGTGTCAAGTTGACAAGGGGTCAATTGTGATAGCTTCAGTTGTCAATCTGAAATACCTGGGAAGAGGAACTCTCAATTGAACAACTTCCTCCAATAGCTTGGCCTGTGGTCATGTCTTTGAGGCATTTCCTTATTGCTGATGATGTAGGAGGGCTCAGCCTCCTATGGGCAATGCCATCCCTGGGCTGCTGGGTCTGGACTGTATAAGAAAAGTAGCTGAGTAAGCCAAGGGAGGCAAGCAAGTAAGCAGTGTTCCTCAGTGGTGTGTGCTTCAGTCCCTGACTCTAGGTTCCTGCCCTGAGTTCCTGTCTGACTTTGCTCAAAGAAGGCTGTACACTGGAAGTATAAGATGAAATAGACCGTTTCCATTCCAAGTAGGCTTGGTTGGTGTTCCATCACAACAATAGAAAGTAACTCAGACACCAGGTTGAGATCTTTTACTGTTTTCAGTCATTCAATTTCTGTCACCATGATTCCTTCACTACTCTATTTGTTTGATTTTTTTTAAAGCAGCTCCAAATATAGCTATAATGTCTGTTATATGCAGTTGTGATTTTTTAAAATTATTTTTCCATAACAATTTTGACTTTTGCTACTGAAGTCATAACAAACCAAACTTTATTAACAAATAAAAGAATAAATGTGTGCATAGCTTACTAAAAAATACAGAACAATTTAAATCCTACTGGTCTGATACATCGTAGCTGTGGGATTCTGAGCAAATTACTAAACCTTGCTGTTTTTCTTTCTCTTTTAAATTAAGATTAATAATAAGAATCATCATATGCATTTATTTATATTTTGTATAACTATATATAAATATTTGACAGATTAACAG